ATAACATTAAATTGCGGTTTATAGACTCTTTTCGATTTATGGGGGCGTCTCTTGATGAATTAGCTTCAATTTTAGCAGTATCAGAAAAGAAAATTTTACAAAGGGAATTTCAAAATTTAGATGAAGATAAATTCAAATTATTAACACAGAAAGGAGTTTTCTGTTACGATTACATTGATTCGTTGAAAAAATTAAATGAAACGACTTTGCCCCCAATTGAAAAATTTTACAATAAATTAAACGATGAAAGTGTAAGTGACGAGAAGTATGCTCATGCGCAATCTGTTTGGCAACAGTTTAACATTAAAACATTAGGAGAGTATTCTGATATATATTTAAAAACAGATATTCTGCTTCTTGCCGACGTTTTTGAGCAATTGCGTAAAAAATGTTTCTCCACCTATGGTCTGGATCCTGCGTGGTACTATACAATGCCCGGATATACGTGGGACTGTATGCTCAAATACACTGGGTGTAAGTTAGAACTACTAAAGGATCTAGATATGGTGATGTTTTACGAAAATGCTATAAGAGGTGGAATTTCGGTGTGTAGCAACCGATTTTCGGAGGCCAACAATAAATATATGCCCGAATATGATCCTGAAAAGCCGTCCAAGTACCTTATGTACCTGGATGTGAATAGCTTATATGGGAAGGCTATGCAGCAACCCTTACCCTACGGAGGGTTCAAATGGGTAGATGATGTAACATCGTTTGATGTGATGTCAATACCCGACGACTCTGACGTAGGGTACGTGCTACAAGTCGATCTATCGTACCCACAAGAACTGCACGATAAACACAAAGATTTTCCGTTTGCGGCAGAACGTAGCGTACCACCCAGCGACGGCGGGGTAAAATTGCCGAAATTAATGGCAACACTTACGGATAAAAAAGAGTACACGGTTCACTATAAAAATTTAAAACAAATGCTAGCTAATGGGTTAAAGTTAACGAAAATCCATAAAATTTTACAATTTAAACAAGCAGCCTGGCTGAAACCCTACATCGAGTTGAATACTCGATGTAGAGCTGCAGCCCGGAATGATTTCGAAAAAAATCTTTTTAAATTAATGAATAATGCAGTATTCGGTAAGACCATGGAAAATATACGTAAGCACCGCGTATGTAAAATCGTTAAATCTTGGGGTGGTCGCTATGGGGCAGCAAACTTGATTTCGAGTTTTCGGTTCCACAGTCGCACAATTTTAGAGGAAAATCTGGTGGTTATCGAATTGAACAAGGCTGAAATAACGTTTAACAAACCTCTGTATGTAGGGCAGGCAATTCTAGACCTATCGAAACTAGTCATGTACGATTTTCATTACACCTATATGCTACCAAAAATGGGTGCAGAAAGGTGTAAGCTCATGTACATGGACACAGACAGTTTTATCTACGAATTGCAATGTGAGGATGCATATGAGGAGATCATTAAAGCTGATTCCAGTAAATTTGATACTTCGGATTATCCTGAAAATAACATATATAAAATACTGCGTAAGAACAAAAAGGTGCCGGGTCTAATGAAAGATGAAAATAACGGTAAAATTATGACACATTTTGTTGGACTTCGAAGCAAAATGTATAGTTACAAGGTGCAGGGTGGGAAGGTGGTTAAAAAATCTAAAGGGGTTAAGTACAATGTTGTTAAAAATAAAATTGCATTTGAGGATTATGTTGAATGTTTGAAAGAATTTAAGGAAAAAACAGCTACACAACGCTGTATCAGGTCGTATGCACACAACGTATATTCTGTTGAACAGTCAAAAATTAGTTTAAGTCCGTATGACGACAAACGTTATTTAATTCCGAACAGTTTTGACACACTTCCGTGGGGGCATTACAGTATCTTATAATAGCGTTTTTTTTTTGTTATAGATGAATGCCCCAACATTATCAGAGTTAGCTGTTAGAAAAATTTGCGAATCAATAACATCATCAGCAGTAGAATTCATGGAGCAGTCTCCACTACCATGGAAATTAACTACGGAAATTGTGAAACAATTTCCTTTATATAAATGGCACGCTATGATTAAAGAAGCCAAAAATGATCTTGATTCTTCATATACAGGAATTAACTTTATTAGATGTCACAAAGAAATAGATCCAAATTTAATTCACACTATATTAGGAAAATCAGATTGGGGTTATGTTTTTGAAGATTATTCTAGTTACTGTCTATGGACAAGTGGATATTGGCTGGACCAATATTACCTACACGTATGTAAAAATTGTTTATCTAAATTTAAAGAAATACATAAAACTTTAAATAAACGTTTATTTGCCTGCTATGACCATTCTCACGAGGTTCACGATGCACATGACATTATTTTGAACGTATACCAAAAAAAGTATAATTGGTGTCACAGCTGCTTTAAAAGCGTAGTGTTTGAACTAAAAGACCAGGAATCTTGCAGAGATGCCTTACATGATAGGTCTAGAAATAACATCCGAATCCGATTTGATGAATCTGATGTAGACAGCGATATTGAGTTTTAAAAAAACATCACAGCAAACAAATTACAAAAAAATATATAAAAGCGTTCATCCGTCCTCCAGTTTCTCTCTATCTATTGTACTAACATTTATATATATATTTTTTTCAAACATGTATGTAGTACTAACATTTATATATATATATATATATATTTTTTTTCAAACATGTATGTAATTAGATTTAATAATGAATATTTATAAAAAATGTTTTATTGATTTCGTTAGATTTTTCTAGTAAGAAGAGTTCACAACAACAAGATGTCCTGATAGCTTGAGTCGTCAGAGGTGTGCAACATCAGAAGCAATGTTAGTGCGTGGTTGGAGTTTCAAAACTTAGCGTGTTCAAAACAAAAAAAAAAACACGCACACACATAATACTAACATTACTTCTGATGTTGTGGCGCGGTTCTTCGAGCTATCAAGACATCTTTTTGGTATTTTTGAACAAAGTGTGCACGTCACGTGCGTCACGTATCACGTCACGTGCGTCACGTATCACGTCACGTGCGTCACGTGTCACGTCACGTGCGTCACGTGTCACGTCACGTGCGTCACGTGTCACGTCACGTACGTCACTTGTCACGTCACGTCACGTGTCACGTTACGTGACGTATATCATAATGAAACGACAGATATGCATTTTTACAAAAACTTTATTAAAATCGTTCAAGATCATTAGCGATCCTATGTCTATAGAAAAATATATGTTGTCCTAACGCTATATGTTGTAAAGTACAGCCTACGAGCTTAAATGTATACAATTTTTGAATAGCATCTGAAAACGTATAATTTTGATCATTAAAACTAGCTCGAACAATCTTAAGCGCATTATAATAATAGCTTGGAAATTCAACAGTTTCTAGCATAGACATATACGGTACTAAAGTTCATTATTTGCTTCTAAAAGAGCGTTCACGTCCATTTCTGAGAGGTAGAAACTAATGTTGTGCTTGGTTATTTCGAGAATTTTCGTACTATCATAGATTAGTCGTCGAATTCTGCAATAGTCACCGCACTCGATTTCGACAGGATCATACTTGTCAGGAAGGTTCTTCTCCTCCTCCTGCTCCTCCGTCTCCTTCACCGTTACCACATTGAGCTGGGTGATTAATTGTTCCCACTCATAGGAACTGAAAGATAGTTTCAACCGTGATGAGTTCCACACAATTACAGCAGGAGTAAATGATCTCGCTGGGCTTAGACCGCATCCAATTTGGTATGATCCATTTGGAAACTGCGTGTACAGCAGATAATGGTCCTCGTTCTTGGCCGCTTCTTCGTACCTTTCCAGAATAGCATTCCAG